TGAATCTAAGGCTCAACTTTTTTGATGAATTTATCTTGCCAAAATTGGGGTGTACATTAGATTCGCATGATACAGTAAGACGATTCGTGTAATGGGGTGCGCATTATATACGTATAATTTTAGTACTGAGTCAAAGCAAAAGGGGAAGCTGTTTCAGGAGCTCTTTGAGGGACTTCACCTCTAATTTAACTGCCATGGGATCCTGGGAATTGTAGTTTGGTGCAACATCAGCATTCTTTAGCAGAGAAGGCTCAAGACTTGGTAAAACTACAGCCCTGATGACTTCATAGCAATGAACCAGGACAATTAAAGTGCCTTCATTCTACAGCCAAATGCACCTCAAGGATTTCCTATCTATTTCTGGAAGCTTTGGTGTCTTATTACTTTTAATTGTAATGTGCACCTTTTTAGCCAAATTACTGCACATTACTTTCAGCAGCAAATACTTTTTTTGGTTTCAGGGTTTTGAAAATTGAGGTGTGCATTAAAGTCGAGTAAATACATATAGCTGCTTTTTGTTTTGGGGTTGGTTTTTTTTTTTTTTTTTGGAGTCAGGAGCAACTTGAGAAACTGCAAGTCGCTTCTGGTATGAAAGAATTTGCCGTCTGCAAGGACCCTGCCCGAGGGACGCCCGGATGTTTTGAGGCTTTATCATCCTTGTGGAAGGCTTTTCTCATGTCCCCGCATAGGGAGCTGGAGCTGACAGAGAGAGCTCATCTGCACTCTCCCCAGATTCGAACTGCCGACTGTTGGTCTTCAGTCCTGCCAGCACAAGGGTGTAACCAATTACGCCACCAGGGGCTCCTAGGGGTAGATGGTTAGTATACATATACTCATGTTTCAATTCAAGTACAGTTCCACAGGAAGCTGCAAACAATTACAGGCATTTGCAAAGCCTTGATGGTATATCCATATTTTAGGGTCTGACTACACCACATTATAGCACAGTATGTTTGTACTGTAATGACTGTCCACTAAAGGGGATTACAAGAGAACTGTAGGTTAACACTAAGGGATCTACATAACTGTGGACATGGCTTTAAGAGAGATTATAGTCATTCCTTCCCATTTGCTAGGATAAGGAGTGCAAGAACTCTATGAAAGTGGAAAAACTGACTAAAAAGCTATTTTTTTCCTGTGATAATATTTCTCAAGGAATATTTGTGTCTTTCAGAAACACTCTGTGGTTAACCTCCACTGGACATTGACCACAGAATTTTACTGGAGGGCCTATCAATGCTCAGGGAAGTGTTCTCTCTAGGAATCTCTAGGTTCTCCAGCACAACTCTGGCATACTGTGAACATAGTGTCACCCCGGAGGACCAAAAGATTCCTAGAGAGAACATATTAATCACAACTACAAAGAATCAAATCCTCAAAAGTCAAACTCACAGATGTGGAGAGACAACCATATATCTTGCCCAGTACTTCATCTAGGATTTCAAAACATAAAGCATCTTTCTATAATGAAAAAATAGGTTGATGGTATGAATCTGGGGAACCGGGTGAGCTCCTGTTCGGCAGCTCCAGCTTCTCATGTGGGGACATGAGAGAAGCCTACCACAAGGATGGTAAAACATCAAAACATCCGGGTGTGTCCTTGACAACGTCTTTGCAGACAGCCAATTTTCTCACAACCGAAGCAACTTGCAGTTTCTCAAGTCGCTCCTGACGCAAAAAAAAAACCCCAAAACACTTCACATTTTTGTGAACACCATTAAAAGTTAGGAATCTTCCATTCAAGGGGACTATTTTGAAAAATGGTGCCTCAAAAATACATTCTCTGCCATTTAATATTAAGCACTCACAACCGAAGAATTCAGTTTTGGGTCTATCACTCAACAATTAAACTTGGATTTCATCAGAAACTTTTCATGGTGTGCAGGTTAAGGATCCCTTATTCTGGAATTCTGTGTTCCAAACTGCTCCATAATTTCTAAAACTCGGTGGCTAATACAGTGACACCTTTTTCTTTCCGATGGTTCCATGTACATACATTTTGTTTCATGCAAAACATCATTAGAAATTTTGTGCATAATGTTGTTTGAGTGCTTCTACAGAAGTATAACATGATACATAAATTTCACATGTTTTCTAAACACAAGAATTGGTTTTAAGTACCCTGTCAAATGTCAGAAATCAGTGACCTAATGAACAGGTGTTTCACTCTTCAATGGTATAAACATGTACTTTGGCAGAGTAAAATCAAAAAGGCTTTCATACTACTTTTGTTCTAGTAATAACGGTGAAATGCTTGCTTATAATTTGCATTTCAAGTTGAAATGTTCAACTGCTAAACAAGCCAGAGGGGAAAATAGCAAGAATCTGTATTTAACTTTTTCTGAGGAGATAGAAAAATGGTAACTTGAATTGCTGTTTCGTAAATCTGGCACATAAATCCAGCAGGTGGAAAAGCAGGTGTGAGATAACTACATGTGTCTTAACTCAAGGCTGAACTTTTATCATTCATCTGAAGAATATATATACAAGAAGGAGCTCTGCATACACCTAGAGCTGCCTGCCTTGTCTAACCTGAACATGTTAAACAGAGTTTGCCTTGACTATGATCTTAAATATACACCTGGTTTTGAGAGGAGCTCAAAACCCGCCTTGCAACAAAAATCATGATAGACAGCAGGAGGTCTACAAGTTGATTTATTTGAATTTTCACAGTAATCTAAATTAAATGCTTTTAGTATAGTGAATATAATAGATAATTAACATATGTATGTTAATTTTAGAAAGCTATAAGGCTTTCTAAAATTCTGCTCTAAAGTCAACTGCTTGCACTTCTAGCCCAAGTCTGGTTTGCTCCCTACTTCATAGTCAATGCTATTCCAGTGCAGAATATTTGAGGAGCTATAGTCAGCCCTCCACCTTTGGGGGATATGAGTACAATTCTCCTACGAAAGATGAAAAACTGTGAATATCTTCCCAGGGAGAGTAGTTTTGTCTTTAGTCTTTTCTGCCAGTGCTGGTGCCTCACCAAACTACAAATCACAGGATTCTGTTGAACTGAGCCATGGTAAGTAAAGTGGTGTCAATTTGCATTAATTCCACAGTGTAGATGCACCCTATGTGTATAAGGCTGAAGGAGAAAAGGAAAAGATCTCAGGTTGTCAGGAATGGTGGGAGTTGTAGTCCAAAACACCTTGAGGGTCAAAGTTTGCCTGTGCCTATGTGTTGTCAAAGGCTTTCATGGCTGGAATCACTAGGTTGCTGGACGTTTTTCGGGCTGTATGGCCATGTTGCAGAAGCATTCTCTCCTGACATTTTGCCTGCATCTATGATAGGCATCCTCAGAGGCTGTGAGGTCTGCTGGAAACCAAGAAAATGGGGCTTACATATCTGTGGAATGTCCAGGGTGGGGAAAAGAACTCTTGTCTGTTGGGAGCTAGGTGTGAATGTTTCAACTGGCCACCTTAATGGTCTAGCAGTTTTGAAGGTGTGGCTTATTACTGCCTGGAGGCATCCTTTGTTGAGAGGTGATTAGCCATCCCTGACTGTTTTTTGTCTGGAGCTCCCCTGTCTTTGTCCACATGCTTGTGGATTTCAATGGCCTCTCTGTGTTGTCTGACATGTCCAGGTTGGTTCATCAGGTGCTCTGCTATGGCTGACTTCTCTGGTTGAATTAGTCTGCAGTACATTTCATGCCATAGCAGAGCACCTGATGAACCAACCTAGACACAGCATATTATTTGAGAACACAGAAATGTTGGACTACTCTAATAACTAGCATGTCAAACCACACAGAGAAGCCATTGAAACCCACAAGCATGTGGACAATTTCAACAGAAAGGAAGAAACCATGAAAATGAACAAAATCTGGCTACCAGTATTTTAAAAACTCTAAAATTATAAGTAAATAAAGACGGGGGAGCTTCAGGCAAGAAACAATCAAGGACAGCTAATCACCACTCAACAAAGGCAGTAAGAAGCCACATCTTGAAAACTGCTAGTCCATTAAATGGTAATCAAGGTGACCAATTGAAACATTCACACCTACCTCCAACAAACGAGTTATTCCACAGGTATATAAACCCCATTTTCCTAGATGTGTTGTTGGGCTTGGTCTCATGTCAGCCGCTCCGAGTCCCTTGGGAAGATGGTGATGGGGTATAAATAATGTTTTATATTATTATTATAAATATGTGAGAGGAAGCCACAGGGAGGAGGGAGCAAGCTTGTTTTCTGCTTCCTTGAAGACTAGGACGTGGAACAATGGCTTCAAACTACAAGAGAGGAGATTCCATCTGAACATGAGGAAGAACTTCCTGACTGTGAGAGCCGTTCAGCAGTGGAACTCTCTGCCCCGGACTGTGGTGGAGGCTCCTTCTTTGGAAGCTTTTAAACAGAGGCTGGATGGCCATCTGTCAGGGGTGATTTGAATGCATGGCCCATGGGGGGGCTTGGGGGGCTTCAGCCCCCCCCCCCCGAAATTCTGATGGTGGTCCGCGAGAAGGCCTTACTGGTACATTATTTAAACTGTTATGTTTATTCATATCATGATCTGATCAACATGCTCAATATATCCATATGCATGGGGGTATTGGGGTAACGATACAAAAGGTTTGCTAGGGTAGACCCTCTTTCACTCAGTCTCAGCCCCCCTGAAACAAACTCAGGCCCCGGGCCTGTTTGAATGCAATATTCCTGCTTCGTGGCGGGGGTTGGACTGGATGGCCCATGAGGTCTCTTCCAACTCTTTGATTCTATGATTCTATTATTAGTTTCCAACAGACCTCACAACCTCTGAGGATGCCTGTCATAGATGCAGGCGAAACGCCAGGAGAGAATGCTTCTGGAACATGGCCATACAGCCTGAAAAAAACTTACAGTTGCCCGTGCCTGTTATAGAAACATAGACTTGGGAGATCCCCCAAGGCCCACCCAGTCCATGCAGGAACACCCCAACAAAGCCTTCCCGGCGGATGGCCACGCAGTTTGTGCTGTCAGACGTGCACAGCTGAGCCCCTCTGCCTCCTTCCTTGCTTCCTTACCTGTACTGCCAGGCCTTGGTGGCGGCGGCGGCGGCGCTTCCCCGGCTGAGGCTGCTGAGCCCGCTGCTGCTACTGCTGCTGCTGGCGGTGCTGGCCTTGCTGGGGCAGTTCTGGGCCGGGGGCTCCGCCTTGCCCTCGCCGCTCTCCGAGGCCTTCATGGCCGGGGCGGGGAGAGGCGGGGGGGCTTGGGCCGGGGAGGGGACCACGGCGAGGGCCTCCCCACTCTGCATGGCGGGGGGCTGCTCACCGAGGGGCCTTCGCCAAGGGAGAAACGAGGGAGAAGGAGGAAGAGGGGGGAAGAGGCATGAGGAAGGAGAGGGGCCTCTCAGAAGCACACACACACACTCGTGGGCGGGGAGGGGACAGGCAGAGGAGAGCTCTTCCTCAAGAGTCCGAAGGGGAAGCCTCCCAAGGCTGGGCCTCCTCCTCCCGACCAAGCGGCTTTGCGGAGTTGCCCTCGACGTGAAACACACCTTTTCGCCCAAGACCGCACTGAGGCGAGAGGAAAGAACGGGGCGGCCTCCTATCCCGCCGCCGACACAACCCTCCACCTCTTCCGGGTCAGGCCTCGCCTCTTCCGCGCCATGGCCCGCCTCCCCATCTCTCTCTCATTCCAGTCTTCTTTCCTCCTCTTCCGCTGAGGCAAGCGAGCCGGCCGCCGCCATCTTTGCTACGGGCAAGGGCAGCCGGGAGGAGTAGAGTTACGCATGCGCGAGGGAAGACTTCTTTAGAGTAGTGCGCATGCGCACGAGAAGCAGCCTTTCCCCGCCTCCAAGACACTCATTTCAGAAGACTTTCAAACACTTCTACGAATGAAATAGAACAGAAGGAACATGTGCACGACGAACCACGTAAACCTCCAAAAAATTCAACAAGAAGTAGCCTTAAATCAAGAAATAGTTTTCTGAGATCTACAGAGATACTCGCAGGAACCCCTCAGCAAGCGAGAGTCCCATGAGGAGCGGCGTAAAGAGCTGGGCATGTTTAGCCTCAAGAAGACTGAGAGGAGATATAATAACCATGTATAAATATGTGAGGGGAAGTCATAGGGAGGAGGGAGCAAGCTTATTTCAGCTGCCCTGGAGACTAAGATGCGGAACAATGGCTTCAAACTGCAAGAAAGGAGATTCCATCTGAACATTAGGAAGGACTGTAACTGTGAGAGCTGTTCAGCAATGGAACTCTCTGCCCCAGAGTGTGGTGGAGGCTCCTTTGGAGGATTTTAAACAGAGGCTGGATGGCCATCTTGGGAGTGCTTTGAATGCAATTTTCCTGCTTCTTGGCAAGGGGTTGGACTAGATGGCTCATGAGGTCTTTTCCAACTCTATGATTCTATGAGTCCAAAAGTGGCAGACTAAAACCAGGAACCTCAATCAGTGGCTGAGATTGGGTGAAAACCCCTTCCTGGGTATCTTGAAAGATGCTGAGCTAACCATAAAGAATGGGGCTACAAAGTGGAGTCCACGACATGCGAGTGTGGCAAAAAGCAAACCACAGACCACCTACTGCAATGCAACCTGAGCCCTGCCACATGCACAATGGAGGACCTTCTCACAGCGACACCTGAGGCGTTCCAAGTGGCCAGCTTCTGGTCAAAGGACATTTAGCACAATGTCAAGTTTTTAACTTTGTGATTTTTATACGTTATAACTGTGTTCTCAATTTGCTGCTGACACAATAAATAAAGCATTTTTAAAAGCATTTTTAAACTTGGAAAGAAGCAGGACCAAGGGAAAAGCTGTATGCAGATCCACACGCACCTTCAATACATTCATCTTTCAAGTTTTTTTTAAAAAAAAAACTTCTATGAAGAAGCAGAACTGAGGAAAATCCATGTACATCTCCACCCAATTCATTTTTTATCGGTATTCTTTTAGCTATGAAAGAAGCAAGACCGAGGGAAATGTGCATGTATGTATTCATATCTCCCAATAAATTCATTTTGAAAGAGGTTTTTAAAACTTACATGAGAATAACAGGACCGAGGAAAAGATGTATGCAGATCCACTCGAACTGACCATCAATTCATTTCAAAAGAATTTTAAAGATTATGAAAGAAATGGGACTGAAGGGAATGTTATACGCAGGCCCACAAACACCTCCGATAGGATGGTGCTTTGTCTTTCTATTGCATCCTATGACTGAAATCAGCGGATGGGGAAATTCTTCCATTGGCTCCAACTGTTTGGCAGCCATATTGAAGGGTCTGTCGGGAAAAGAAAGGGATGCTGGATTCTGATGCTCCATGTCAGGGCCCACATTCAATGGGAAAACTCTCTACTCTCCCATGACAACAGAGATATGGAAAAGGTGCACAAGGAAGAAAATCTCATATTATTCTCCCTTAAGTGGAATTTGCATTAATAGGATTACACTGATGGATATGACATACTGGTATATACAAACCAGTTTTTTCTATGTGACCTCCAGCATACCTTGCCAACTAATTTTTAAAACATTGCAGTGGTTCTTCTGACACGTGAGCAATGTTGTGTATATGTGCTAGTAATAAAATAAAGACTAGAAGACTGAAATGGAGCCAGCTGACGAAGTTATTGTTGTTAACTGTCGTCAAGTTTTATTTATTGTGTCAGGAATGAACCAAACAGTTGTATTTAAAACAAAAAAACACACACACACAAAGTTTGCAAACTTGGTATTCTATTAAATGTCCTTTGACCAGAAGCTGGCCACTTGGAGTGCCTTTGGCGTTGCTATAAGAAGGTCCTCCACTGTGCATGTGGCAGGGCTCAGGTTGCATTGCAGTAAGTGGTCTGTGGTTTGCTCTTCTCCACACTCAAATGTCGCATGTTGTAGCCCCATTTCTTAAGATTGGCTCTGTGTCTCATGCAAGAGCACAGTCTGTTCAGCGCCTTCCAAGTCGCCAAGTTTTCTATCTGCCCAGGAGGGAGTCTCTCATTTGATATCAGCTATTGATTGAGGTTCTGGGTTTTGGCCTGCCACTTTTGGACTCTCGCTTGCCGAGGTGTTCCTGCGAGTATCTCTGTAGATCTCAGAAAATTATTTCTTGATTTAAGTCATTGGCGTGCCAGATGATACCCAAACAGGATGGGCCAGAGATGTCACTGCCTTGGTCCTTTCACTATTGGTTGCTACTTCCCGGCGGATGTCAGATGGTGCAATACTGGCTAAACAGTGTAATTTCTCCAGAGGTGTAGGGCACAGACACCCCGTAATAATGTGGCATGTCTCATTAAGAGCCACATCTACTGTTTTAGCATAGTGAGATGTGTTCCACACTGGGCATGCGTACTCAGCAGCAAAGTAGCAAAGCGCAAGGGAAGATGTCTTCACTATATCTGGTTGTGATCCCCAGGTGGTGCCAGTCAGCTTTCGTATGATGTTATTTCTAGCACCCACTTTTTGCTTGATATTCAGACAGTGCTTCTTGTAGGTCAGAGAACAGGATCACTTATTGTGATCCTATGAATGAGAAACCTTCAAAACTCACCTGGTCCTGTAGACTCAAGGCATGTGTGGCTTCCTTGATGCAGCCTATCCATCTGGAATGCATTTTCCTCTTTTCTTCCTGCCCTCTATCTTCCAAAGCATCCTTTAATTTCCCAGGGAGTCGTCTCCTCATGTTATATCCAAAGCACAACACTCTCAATATAGTCATCTTGGCTTCTACAGAGAGTTCATGTTTGCTCTAAGGTACCTTTATTTGTCCTTTTAGCAGCCCATGGTATTCATATAACTGTTCTCCAGCACTAGATTGCAAATGAATGTTCTTCTTATCAGCTTTCTTCAGTGTTCACCATTCACCAATATTATAGATAAATGGGAAACAAAATATATGGACTATCCTAACTTTAATATTCAATGGTATATCTTGATATTTCAGGACCTTGCCTAGTCCCTTCATAGGTCCCTTCTATACCATATAAAATCCAGATTATCTGCTTTGAATTGGATTACAATATATCATATAATCCAGTTCAAAGCAGATAATGTGGATTATCTGATTTGATAATCTGGATTGTATGGCAGTGTAGAAAGGACATATTTCCTCTTCTGTCCTAGTTTTCTGATTTCTTAATTTCAGTCTCCCTTCTGATTAATTGACTGAGCCAAAGTATGGAAAATCCTGAACTACTTCAGTGTCTTCATTGTTTACTTTAAAGTGATGTCAGTCATCTGGGATCATTATGTATTTGTTTTCTCTATGCTCAGATGTCAATCTGCCTTTGCACTTTCTTCCTTGACTTCAGTAATCAGTCCAGGTTTTTGCTATTTTCTGCTAGTCGTGAGGTGTCATCTGCACATCTAGAATGGCTGGTGTTCCTTCAGTGTTTATGCCTCCTTTTTCTCAGTCTAATCCTGCTCTACTTATGATGTGTTCTGCATAAAAATTAAATAGGGAGATAAAATGCAGTCTTGCATGAACCCTTTGCCAATTGGAAACCATTTGCTTTCTTCGTATTCTGCCCTAACAGTAGCTTCTTGACCTGAGTAGAAGTTATGCATCAAGATAATCAAGGTATATTGCTATCTAAATAGATGTTTGGATGCATTATATTTAGTGGTGAATTTTTGGATGAATTATATTTAGCAGTGGATTGTTGTTTTCTATTGACTGGAGTCTGATGCCATTTTAAAGATTCTGCTGCTTCATTATTATACATTATTTATATTATATAAATAAAACAAAACAATGGGTGTTTAAAATGAAATGATGAGTTACAAATCTACTAAATTAATAAAATGCATGCATTTAACTGGTTTCTTCACAAACCAGCATTAAGGTGAGGAAACAATCCCTTTATATTGCCCTGGAATTGCGATAATCCAAACCACCCTTTGGAGCAACACCATAAATCATGTTGGCCAGAGAAATCCCTTTATGATGCCACCTATCTCCTACAAATTCCTATCTACATTGCCATATTATGCAGTTTGAAACTGCCTCTTTCTATATATAACTATGAAGTCAAAATTTCAAAAAGTAACCTTTACTTTTCCATTTCTCAAATGCCGCTGACCTCTGATAGTAAGACACTCTAGCTTGTCATCACCGCAACAACATGAAAGTTCCTTGAATCATATGGCATTCTTCTGCACTAGTTAGTGAGGCAACACCCCCACCAATATAAAAGTAATTAAGAAGGGACAAAAAGTTATCTTGCATCAAGTTACAATCATATATTGTGGCACAAGCTGCATCTGCAATACTGTATCATTAGTACAATGGCTCAATGCTAGGGAATCCTGGGATGTGCAGTCTGGTGAGGCACCAGCACTCTTTTGCCGAGAAGGCGAAAGACCTTGCAAATTTACAATTTCCATGATTCCATAGCATTGATCCATGGCAACTGAGTGGTGGTGCAATGGGTTAAACCCTTGTGCCAGCAGGACTGCAGACCGAAGGGTTGGAGGTTTGTATCCAGGGAGTGGGGTGAGCTCCCATCCGTCAGCTCCAGCTTCTTATACAAGGACAAGAGACAAACCTTCCACAGGATGGTAAAACATCCAAGCATCCCCTGGGCAATGTCCTTGCAAACAGCCAATTCTCTCACACCAGAAGTGACTTGCAGTTTCTCAAGTCACTCCTGGCACACACAAAAAA